TGTTAATTGAACGGATACTGTTTGGAGATTTGATGTTATTTTATCATACTTATTCTTTATCATTTATAGAAAAAGCAAAACGGACCTGAACAAAGTAAGTACGATCTAGTTTTTTATTTCCAGTACCAGCGTCAAAGCTATGGTTGCTTTGTTACAAAAGCTTGTTTAAAAAGGATCATTGTTCCAAACATATATTCAACACAAGGATCGGATAAACATTTTGATTGCTTTATATTTATTTGGGCAAATATAGGTTACCTTGGCATATCTAGTTTTACTTAAAAATAAATAAATAAATAAATAAAGTTTCCACCAGAAATTGTTAAACACACGTATGATCAAGAAAATGCAATAAAGATCAACTTTTACAAAAATTATTAGCAAAGATTCCTTATATAAATGAACATTAATTTTAACTGCTTCTTGAGCTTGTAGAAAAACCAGAGCCCTCTTTCTTTATGTTCGAAATATTGGCAAGCAAGCGCTTCCATTTCCTATAGAGACAAGTGTTCTTGTTTTGATTGTAAATAATTTATGTTCGTTTGAGTGAAACGAATTAGAACATAAATTTATTTATCATATGTACTAGGAACACGTGCTTTTGTTTATTATGTGCTAATAAAAGCGACAGTAGCTATTGGTCAGTATTTAAAGGTCGATACGTGTAGAACAGGTGAACAGGTATTCACTTTAATCACGCTTTTAACTCATTCGAAGGCTTTGCTTTGTGATATTCACACCCACCCACCCACCCACCCTGTCACTTACTTCACCCATTTTACTTGTATTTTGTTTAATAAAGAAAGTAATTGTTTTCATTACAAGAAAATTAAAAGTTTTGTACACAACGGATTGATTGTCAAAGATGGGAAACAATTTGCTTAGTCGCTTTTGATAATTTTATGTAAAAGAATAAATTCTGATCCGTCATAACAATAGTTTAGGCTTAAATTGATGGAAAAAGTCAAATAAGACTTTATTCATAATGGTATAATTGTTCCTTTTTCTGTTACACAGTATTTTTAACATACGACTCAAGAGAAAACTGTATAAGATGTACTCGCTTTTTAGTAAATTTGGATCGAGGATCAAAAAGCTGTAACTGTTGTCCACAACCGAGAACAGTAAGATTTAAATGGGATACAAGGAAAACAACGGTTATTGAATTAAAAATTCGGAAGTTTTCGTTTACATATCATAATGAAAAAATGCAAATTTGATAAACAGATCAGATAAAACAAGATATCTGCAAGAAAATTTGTAATAATGAAAGGAGAAATAAATATGAGCTGAATTTTTTATCTTCAAAATTAACCATGCAGAATTGTATAATTATAAGGAAGCAAGATATAAAGATAATCTAACTGCATTGTATTCACTTAATGTTGAATCTTGAAAATAAGTTAAAAACTAAGCAAGTTGAAAATTTTAACAAGCAATCAGACTTAAAAGTATCATTTTTAATTTTTTTTATTTTCTGATTCTTGATATATCATATAAAAATTGCACATCAAAAGTAAACCCAATTTTATTTTTCACAAATATAAAAACATTTCAGAAAACGTAAATACTGCTAATTACTTTATCTTTTACATTAGTCTGTGTATTAAATGGAAAGAATATGTTCTATGAAAGAATTATATTATATTTTTAATATTTGTCTGTTCTTCCTTAATTTATCTCTCAAACATATTATATATAATAGAAAAACATATATTTTATATAAAATAAATACATAATACATATTAATATACAATAAATACATTTTATGTTACGTAAATACATAGATATTAAAGAAAATGAACGAAAAAATCAATATTTACGTTATGAAAAATATACATTTTAAACGTTATATACGACAAATATGACCACGACACCCTTTACAAAGTATTCACAAACAAAATTCTCATCTTTTATATGTACAATATATGATGTCTTATATGTAAAGTTACACATCATTACACAATACTTCAACATAACCAAATCGAGCAATCTCATAAACTTCACTTCAATTTAATAAAGGTATTTTTTCCATTTTACTGATTTCCTATTTCAAAATTTAAAACTTGTACAACTCAAAATTTTAATTTTGTTTTTACATACAAATTAGCACGCAGGATAAAATTTGACATCCAGTTTTATAAAATATGATGTCACATATAACTATTGCAAAATGTTCTTCATATGATTTGGCATTTTTTAAGCAGTTAGTTAACACAGTAAATCAACTATATTAGAAGCTATCATAACATTCCAACCACATGATTACGTAACCATTCAGTGATGATGTCATAGTTTTCATTCATCCAGTTAATGTTCGCCCTTAAAAAAAACAAATATTTATAAATTTTATTGAAAAAAATAATTACTACAAGACATTGGACTAAAACATATGGCCTCTTCTAAAAGATAGTACATACATGTATAATGAAACTTTTAAGAATTTTGAAGAAAGATTCAAATCGTCATACATATTTTTAGAACATTTTCAAGGTCAAAAAGATTGCTCGAGAATTATTACAGGATAGTTTCCTTTTAAGCATTGAATTCATATTTTTAGATGCCTTCTGTCCTTCAACACATCTGGCCATGCAGAAAAATTGAATACCGCACGTTAGCCAGGTGTGTTATATTGGACCGACAACATCCAAAAACATGAATTCAATGCTTATATTTACATTCTCTAATTTTTCCTCTTAACAAATGCTTATTTTGTTAATCATTAATGCCAATTAAGTGCACATTTTTAAATACACATTTGTTGTATTTTTACGTTGATTTAACGGGGTTATAGTTTTTTATCAAATGGAGTCAGAACATTGTACATTTTAATGTTCCTAGAGTATTGAAAATGCATATAGTTCCTACTTTTATTGTAATGCACAATGACAAGGTTTCGCATGCGTAATAGATATTTGAACGTCATCGATTCTTAATGAATTTCCCAAATAAATTTACACTGAATGTAAATATTTAACATTTAAACTCTATAATTTTTGTGACGTCATGCGATATTACTGATCGATATATGTAATATATAATAGATAACCCACATAATGAGGCATTTGTATTGTATAAAATCACTAATGTACAAACATGACGATTTACCTGTATGTTTGTAACTCACCTAATAAGAGCTAATGAAGTCTGGGTTTGCTTTTTTGCCACCTTGGGAGGTTTATCTTTAAATAAGGTTGCCAACTAAAATAGATAAATTCATTTTATCATATTTAGTTTTAAAAATTGGAAATGCAATGCAATATCTATAATTTAACCTTTTTTTTTTGGTCGTGGAAAAACAAATTTTTTCCACTGTTTTAAAAGTGTTCTTTCAAGGTACATGTCATCAGATGAGTCCTTGTCTGAAATTTACGTAAATATTTAATTGTCTATTATTCTCAACTATTATAAAATTAGTCAACTATTCAGAATACCACAAAAATATGACAGGAAAGTTGACATAAATTATGTCTGGCCTGCAGCTTCAGGGTCCTTACTTACCTGATTATATTCAAACTCTGAGTTAACAAACTGTGTAACTTCAGCAATTGTCTCTCTCAGTAGAAAATTGTCAAATCCAAATCTGAATAAACAAAATCTTTGGTTCAAACACAAAAAATGTTTTGGTTCGTTGTTTCCCTTACATATTTAAATGCTTTTGATATAAAAATCAAATTTCAGATATATAGATGTTTAGGATTTCAATGCTACTCTAGACAGGTATGTACAGTTGATGTAACAAAAAGTACATATAGTTCCTTGGTCAGTTAACTTTTTCAAACAATACTTCTAGGTATGAAAACGAACTTAAAAAGCTAATAGATTCAAAAGTAAATAATATAATATCTTGATTTGCCATTTTTTTCTTTTCAAAATTATAATATGAAACAAAAATTAAATATAAATTAAGTCTACTTTTAAATCTTAATGATGAAACTTACTGGTCATTTAATCTGTCCCACTTTGTCATCAGTAAGTGAAGAGTGATCATCCTTCCCAGAGGGCGCTTTGACAGATAACTTATAACGAGGCGCACATCCTGCATTCTAATCCTCGAAGAATCAAAGATCCAGTTGGCATACCTGTTCACGGAATGAAATTATTTAATCTGATTGAAAAAGATGGACGTTATAATAAAAGCAAGTATAGAGCAAGGATAAATTATTCTTAAAAAATTGAAATAATTGAGTTATGTAAGAGCCATTGAAAAGAAAGACAGAAAAAGAAAGAACAAGTGAAAAGTTACAAAGAAAGAGGGGAAGAAAGAAAGAAAGGAAGAAAGAAAGGAAGATAGATAGAAAAGGGAGGAAGAATTTTACCTCCAGAGTAGCCAAGGTTTCTGGGACTGTCCTAGTGCTTCCATCAACATCTCCCTCTCTACTGCCACGTTAGTGGACTGTGACTTGTTCCAGACGTAGTCCCACTCCTCCACCCCTCCCTCCCTCACCCCAACCATATAGATCACTGAGGAGTAGTCACTGGGCAGGCTACAAATAGAAAATAATATAGATTAGTGACGTCACTAGGCAGGCTAAAAATAGAAAACCATATAGATCACCGAGGAGTAGTCACTGGGCAGACTAAAAACAGAATACCATATAGATCACTGAAAAGCAGTCAAAGGGCAGGATAAAAATAGAATTCCATATAGATCACTGAAAAGCAGTCAAAGAACAGGCTAAAAATAGAATACCATATAGATCACTGAAAAGCAGTCAAAGGGCAGGCTAAAAATAGAATACCATATAGATCACTGAAACGCAGTCAAAGGGCAGGCTAAAAATAGAATACCATACAGAACACTGAAAATCAGTCAAAGGGCAGGCTAAAAATAGAATACCATATAGATCACTAAAAGCAGTCAAAGGGCAAGCTAAAAAAAAGAATACCATATAGATCACTGAAAAGCAGTCAAAGGGCAGGCTAAAAATAGAATACCATATAGATCACTGAAAAGCAGTCAAAGGGTAGGCTAAAAATAGAATACCATATAGATCACTGAAAAGCAGTCAAAAGGCAAGCTAACAATAGAATACCATATAGATTACTGAAAAGCAGTCAAAAGGCAAGCTAAAAAATAGAATTAACACCATGTTTTCCACTGATGAGCAGTTACTGGTCAGACTAATTAAATAAAATTAACACCATATCGAACACTGACGAGTAGTCACTGGGCAGACTAAAAATAGAATTAACACCATATACATGTAGATTCCTTACGAGTACATGAAGTCACTGTGTAGGTTAAATAAAGAAACATAAGCAGGCTAAAAATAGAATGAACACCAATAAGATCATTGAGGAATAGTCATTGGGAAGGGCTTAAAATAGAAATATTAGCATTGGATGAACACCATATAGATTTAGGAAGAGAAGCTTCTTAGTTGTGTTAATATCCAAATTATATCAAAGATTTTAATTTATTTTAAAAAAGGAATGACATGGGTAAAGCAAATTTCAAGCTTATTCTCAGTTGATTTGTAAAGTTTACCAATGGCATAAAGAAAGGAGGTAGGTTCTTTTATTCCGACAACCTAGTTATCCATGGACTGTACAAATATATTACTGACAAAAGAGCTTACTACATTGTACATTATCTCTGGGCTTTTACAGATTAAAATCATTTAAGAAATGAAACTTATTTCAACTAATGCTTTACGATATAATATAACATAATTTGAAATAAGCTTCATACGTTATAATTTAATTTCAGTGTAGACAAAAAGAAAAATTTTCTTTCAGAAAAAGCCTTCAAATTAAACATTTTTGAAAATTAACGTCAAGGGGTGTAAGACGTAATCATTGTGACATAGGAAAGTTAAGTTATACGAAATGGATTAAATTTTTTACCCAATTAAATAACGTGTTACAACTAAAAGTAAATTATATGGAGATAACTTAAAAGTCAAATAAAGAGTGCAATTTGTATATCATATCAAACACAGATTACTTCAAACATCAGAGGTTGGATCAGGTGCCATGAAGGAGTGAGCATCCCCTGCCGACCGGTCACATTCAATGTATAACTGAATACTTACGTAATCCCCTCGTCTTTCCAAAGGTAAAACATTTTCCTGGCGTATGCTACTGCCTTTTTATATCCAACATCACAGGCTAGCTTCAAAATGGTTTGTCGTAAGAATCT